TTCTATTTGAAATTATGCAAAATTTTTAGACTCCAATAGCAATGTGGTTGGAAATCATTTTCAGCCCGGCCGGTGTGGCTCAGTGGTTGAGCATTGACCTATGAACCAGGAGGTGAAGGTTTGATTCCCGGTCAGGACACATGCCCGGGTTGCAAGCTGGATCCCCAGTAGGGGGCGTGCAGGTGGCAGCTGATCCATGATTCTCTCTCATCATTGGTGTTTCTCGCTCTCTCTCCCTTCCTCTCTGAAATTGGTAAAAATATATTTTTAAAAGAAAGAAAACAATTTTCATTGTTGTTTGAACAATGACAATGTCATTGAGGAAACACCTGAAAATATGGGCCGAGCTTGGACTCTTTTTTAAAAAAAAAATATTTTTATTGATTTTTTACAGAGAAGAAGGGAGAGGGATAGAGAGTCAGAAACATCGATGAGAGAGAAACATCGATCAGCTGCCTCCTGCACACCCCCTACTGGGGACATGCCCGCAACCAACGTACATGCCCTTGACCGGAATCGAACCTGGGACCCTTCAATCTGCAGGCCGACGCTCTACCCACTGAGCCAAACTAGTTAGGCCAAACTTGGACTCTTATTAGCAAGTCCTGGTCAGCCCTGTTCTAAGGACCCATTGCGTAGCAAAAATTAGAGTGATCGCCATTTAATGTCATCATCATCAAAAGATGACCATCCTCGCCCTGGCCAGTTTGGCCCAGTGGATAGAGCATTGGCCTGAGGACCAAAGGGTCCCGGGTTCGATTCTGGCCAAGGGCATGTACCTTGATTGCAGGCTCCTCCCCAGCCCGGACCCCGATCAGGGCCCCGGCAGGAGGCAACCAATCGATGTGTTTCTTTCACATCAATGTTTCTCTCTGTCTCTCCCTCTCTCTCCCACTCTCCCTAAAAATCAATGGGAAAATATCCTCGGGTGAGGATTAACCATAAAAAGAGCCCTCCTCACACCAAAGGAGTCTCAAACTTCTCTCCATCTCAGAAGCGCGGACTGGCTCCGTGGACTGGGACTTGGCCGTTGCCGTGACCCATTCATGTCGCGCCCAGATTGCAGTGAGCAGAGAGCTGTTGCGCGCTGACAGGGTGTTTGATGATTTCTAGGAAACGAGTGGCTGTTTTCATTCCTGTTCCAAATGGACAGGTGTCTACCGCGGAATTGGCAACCTGGTTGGCACACGCTCCGAGTGGCCAGAGAGCGCATTGTTTATGGAGAATAAGCTCCCCTCCCTCCTGGGATGTCTGTGCGCCCGCCCGCGTGAGTGCTGGCAGCGGGCGGAGGGCAGAAATGGAGATGCTAGAGGTGGACACACTGGTCCAGGGCCAGGCAGCGTAGGCCGGCGGGAGCCCGCGGGTTCCCAATGGTGCCATATGCAATCGCATCTCGCCCGCAGCTCATCTAGATGCACGGATTCAAGTCCGTGAAAGGCGCTTCATCTTCCCTAAGATGCTCATGTCAGGCTCAACAAATCAAATCAAATAAACCAAGAGGTGGTGGGTGTTTTTTTTTACACTTTGTTAAATAAGCATTATTATTTTTTAATATATTTTTATTGATTTCAGAGAGGAAGGGAGAGGGAGAGAGAGGTAGAAATATCAATGATGAGAGAGAATCATGGATCGGCTGCCCCCTGCACGCCCCCTACTGGGGATCGAGCCCACAACCCGGGCATGTGCCCTTGACCGGAATCGAACCCGGGACCCTTCAGTCTGCAGGTTGGTGCTCTATCCACTGAGCAAAACTGGCTGGGGCAAATAAGCATTATTTTTATTCCTTCTTTTTTTTTTTCCTTCAAAGGAAGTGTCCTTATGTTCATCTCCTCTGTGGGTGAGATGGACTGTATGTGCTTAAGACTAAGTGTTAGGAGGGAGTTGCTGTCAGGGTCGCGCCTGGGAAGACCTGGTCCGTAGGAAGCCTTGCTCTTGTCCTCCGTGGGTGACGTCCCATTTTAGCCCTCCGCACCTAAGTGTGACCTCAGATCTGTCGCTGTGTGTCTCTCTCCTTCCACTTGTACACATAATCCTCACAATCCCGGGTTAGTATTCACCTCAGTGATTTTTCTCTCCTGAGTGTTATGATAAAGCGAGGTATGAGGCAGATTCTCAAGGAAGAAAGAGCAACATTGTAATACCCAGGATCTGAAGTCCTTTTATTGCCTAACCTCTGTTTTTACAAGTTGTTCTAAGCTTTGGGGGACGTGGGAGAAAGAAAGAGAGAGAAAAGAAAAGAAAATGAACCGCCCCTTCCTATCAACTGAAACAAAATTTAATTTTAAAAATTAAATAGAGCCTTAACCAGTTTGGCTCAGTGGGTAGAGCGTCGGCCTGCTGACTGAAGGGTCCCGGGTTCGATTCTGATCAAGGGCATGTACCCTTGGTTGCGGGCACATCCCCAGTGGGGGGCGTGCAGGAGGCAGCTGATGGATGTTTCTCTCTCATCGATGTTTCTAACTCTCCCTTTCCCTTCCTCTCTGTAAAACATCATTAAAATATATTTTTTAAAAATAATAAAATAATTAAATAGAACATACACTTAAAACCTATATAATTTTATTAACCAATGACACCCCAATAAGTTTATTTTTAAAAATTGAACAGTGAGGCAGTCACTACTGATGTAGAAGAGATTTGCATTTAATTTGGGGTAACTTTTCCAGGATGTCTGTGGTTCTTAAGAATATTTAGTTTTTGGCCTGATGGGGTGGCTCAGTGGTTGAGTGTCAATGTAGCAACCAGGAGGTCACAGTTCAACTCCTGGTCAGGGCACATGCCTGGGTTGCGGGCTCCATCCCCAGTGTGGGGTGTGCAGGAGGCAATGATAATTCTCTCTCATCATTGATGTTTCTATCCCCCCACCCCCCCAGGGGACCCTGAAGGCAGCAGCCTCCGGCACCGGCAAAGAGCCAGGCACCCCCTGAGAGCTTCTCTCTGCCCGGGAGGGAGGCCTCACCCTGGTTCTCTGGAATCTATACATTGAGCTAATCATCAAATTGCATTGGGGCCTCTGGGAGGGGTCCATATACCATGAATAACACTTCATGTTGAAAATAATATTTGAGCCCGGCCAGTGTGGCTCAGTGGTTGAGCGTCCACCAATGAACCAAGAGGTCACGGTTCGATTCCCAGTCATTCCATCCCCAGTGTGGGGCGTGCAGGAGGCAGCCGATCCACGAGTCTCTCTCATCATTGATGTTTCCGTCTCTCCCTCCCTCTCCCCTCCTCTCTGAAATCAATTAAAAATCTTTTTAAAAAAGAAAAGAATAGTCACTACCTTGGGAAACGTCTGTGTATCAGAGTTAATGGGTGTCGTTTCCCTGGGGCGTGAGAGGGTGGGTGGGTAGGACTTGGAAGTTGGCCTCTTTAAGCCATGTTATGCGCCACACAACTAGTAAAATGCGTGCCCTGGCTGAATCTGTGCCTCAAACCAAGCATCACTCGAGTGACCAGGTAGAAAACCAGTTTGTTCTAGCATCCCGGTCCCTGGTCCCTCGTCCCTCGCATCGCCTTTGAGGTACATGTGCGCGTGCCCAGCGAGAGTCACACCCTGGAATGCCTTCCCTTCAGCAAGAAAGCCAAGTGGACCTGGGCTCGCTCCATCCCTGCCACACACAACCGCCTCGTTCTGTCGGAATCCACTGCATCTCGTGAAGATTAAAATGTAGACAAAGAGAAGTAACTTCCCCAGCCAGTCATCGCCGGGGGCCGGCACGGAGAAGAGTATGGAACCTGCCAGGCGCCCGCCTCTCTGACCATGGGGAGCAGCGTGGATGACAGGCACACAGATGGGCGTGGGGCGTGATTAATGGCGCTCCCGGCCTGGCGGGGAGAAAGCAGGACATGGCGGCAGACATGGAGCCTTTTGGGTTTAAGGCTCCTTCCAGGGTTTGGAGTGGAAAGGAACCCGGGAAAATCCCAGCCCCAGCCTTTGCTAGAAAAGCAGGAGGCGCCCTTTTTCCTCTCTTCGGAGTTGCCTGCCAAGACCAGACCATTCATGGAGACCATTCCAAGCCCCTCAGTGACTCATTAAAATCATATTCTCCCTCCCTCCCCCCTGTCCATCTTCCTCCCTTCCTTCCTTCCTTCCTTCCTCCCTTCCTTCCTTCCTTCCTTCCTTCCTTCCTTCCTTTCTTCCTTCCTTCCTTCCTTCCTTCCTTCCTTCCTTTCTTCCTTCCTTCCTTCCTTCCTTCCTTCCTTCCTTTCTTCCTTCCTTCCTTCCTTCCTTCCTTCCTTCCTTCTTCTCTCTTTTAGTTTGTTCTTTTTTATTTTTCCTTGCCTGCACTTTCTCCTTTCTCTCCCAAGCATTGTCTCGCATTAGCATCCTCAGAGTATGAGCTGGCCCCCCACAGTGGACTGTCCACAGTCTCCAAGAGACAGATGTGCAAAGCTGGGAGTGTCTTTCCTCAGCTAGTTCCCTTGCCTGTACCCCAGCCACCTTCTATCAGGTGGGTCCCTCCTGAGCCTCATGCATCAAGAATACAGGAGTCTGGCCCTGGCCAGTTTGGCTCAGTGGATAGAGCGTTGGCCTGCAGACTGAAGGGTCCCGGGTTTTATTCCGGTCCAGGGCTCAACCGCAGTAGGGGATGTGCAGGAGGCAGCTGATCCATGATTCTCTCTCATCATTGATGTTTCTATCTCTCTTCCCCTTTCCCTTCCTCTCTGAAATCAATAAAAATACATTTAAAAAAAAAAGAATACGGGATCCTGTTTCCATTTTGCTTGTTCATTTATTTTGTTCGCTAGAGTCCACGTATAAGTGAACTCACACGGTATCCGTCTTTCCCTGACTGACTTATTGCACACACTGTCGAATGCCCCCTGTCCGGCCAGGTCTGTCCTTGCGTTCTGCATTCCACCATCCAGCTACATTGACTCCATCCTCATTGTCCTTGAATCTGCTCTTCCCCATGGCCTGAACAGCTCCCTCTTCTCTCTCCAAACCCTGACTTAGGTCATGACGCTCATTCATCAGGCCTCTGCTTGGATGTGCCCACCTCTGAGAAGAACTCCTCAAGTTGAAGTCCGCTGCTCCATCTCCGATGCTGTGCCGTGGTTGTAAACAGATGAAAGAGGCGACCAAGGCCAACAGGTAAGCCTGGCTTACGTCAGGAACACGCTTGTCTCGACGTCACAAAAACACCTGCTGAGTGACGGGAAGGTTCTGACCCTTATATACAACCAAAGCCCACGTCACGGGAGAACCAGTACTGAGGTTGCGTAGGAATCATTGCTTTATCCTTCCTAAAGCTAGCAATGGCGCAATCTGTAATACAGTCTCGTGTGGGACAAAGTAAAATGGGGGACATATTTTTTCAAAATATATTTTGATTGATTTCAAAGAGGGAAGGGAGAGGGAGAGAAAGATAGAAACATCAATGATGAGAGAGAATCATTGATGAGCTGCCTCCTGCACGCCCCACACTGGGGAATGAGCCCACAACCTGAGCAGGTGCCCTGATCGGGAATTGAACCCTAACTTCCTGGTTCACAGGTAGATGCTCAACCACTGAGCCACACTGGCCGGGTGAGAGACATTTTCTTTGGGGCTCATTTAGTCTAAGAAGGAAAACTCAAGTGGGTGGAGGTGTTTCTAAACTTAATTATGGAATCATTTTGCAGAGTTTACACTTGCCTCCTAGAATATATAAAACAGCATTAACCCTGTAACCTTTTGAATGTATACAGCATGGATACTGGCTTTGTGGTGGGCGTCTGGAATGGAAAGAGGAATAGATCAAGCCATTCGAAGGTAAGGAGAGATGACACTGGAATCTCAAGGTACCTTCTTCTCTTTAACACTACGTTTCCCCAGAGCTTTGCACATGGACTAGACATAGATAACACCATTTACATTTTCATTTTGAAAAATATATATTTTTTATCTATTTCAGAGAGAGAGAGGGAAACATGAGGGATAGGAGAGAATCATTGCCCCCAATCCAGGCATGTGCCCTGACCGGGAATCAAACAGTGACCCCCTGGTTCATGGGTCACAGCTCAACCACTGAGCCACACCAGCTGGGCTAAATTTTTATATTTTATAGAAAAATATATGGGGGTGGGGGTGGGGGTGTATAGGCTATAAAATAAAATTTTAAAGCCGTGTAAGTGACCAGTGTTTTCCAAAGAACTGGTTCAGGAAAGTCGCCCCATCCTGACGGATGCCATCCACAGAGGCAGAGCGTGGAGCAATGAGGGAGGTGCCTCAGGCCTGTACTCTCTGTGAGTGCAGGTTGAGACTACACTTAGAGACACGTGACCACAGCTCTGACAACACCTAGCACATTCCAGCAGGGGCTAGAGCCTCGCCAAGTGCTGTCCACGCACTTCGTTATTTTTTTAAAATGATTTTCCACTTTATTATATTTTTATTGATTTCAGAGGGGAAGGGAGAGGGAGAGAGATAGAAACATCAATGATGAGAATCATAGATCGGCTGCCTCCTGCACGCCCCCTACTGGGAATCGAGCCCGCAACCCGGGAAGGTGCCCTCCACCGGAATCGAACCCAGGACCCTTCAGTCCGCAGGCCAACACTCTATCCACTGAGCAAAACCGGCTAAGGCTGTTTTTATTTTATTTTTTAATATGTTTTTGTTGACTTAAGAGAGGAAGAGAGAGGGGGAGAGAGACAGAAACATCAATGATGAGAGAAAATCAGTGATCGGCTGCCTCCTGCACACCCAACACTGAGGGGTCGAGCCTACAGGCATGTGCCCTGACCAGCAATCGAACCATGGTTCATTGGTCCGTGCTCAACTACTGAGCCAGTCCGACTAGGCCACGCATTACGTCCTTTAATCATCGCAGGAATCCTGTGAGGTATGGAACGATTGTAACACCACAAATGAGTCACTTGAGGCAAGGTCCTCACGAAATTTGCCCAAGGCCACACCGTAACAATCAACAGAGCCAGTCTTGAAACCATTGGTCATCTAATTCCAGGGTTCTTTCTCTGAGCTTCTGGCCAACACCATGGCCCTCGCCCCATCTCAGATAACGAGATGTAGTGGGAGAAGCCCGGGGTCTGGAATCTGAAGACTCACATTAATTATCAGCTGGAGTAGGTCACCCCATGCCTGTTTCATCATTTCTGATATGAGGATGGGGCTGTTACTATCTGCCCTGCCTGCTTCCCAAGGCTGCATGACATGCAAGGACTTAGGACCCAGGAATGTGCTAAACAAATACCGGTGGCTAAGACTGATTTACAAGCAGAGTCTGCTGACGGATTTGTATGAGAGGAGTTGGTATTTAGGGGGGCGTTTTCTGAGTGGCAGTTGAAACTGATGAAATAAAGATGATGGAATCTTCCCACACAGATAAAATGGATGTTGTTTGAAGAAGGCGGTGGCTGTCCCATCATCCTGCACTCCAGGCTCGGGGAACAGTAATTGGCGCCCGCAGAAAGAGAGGAGGGGCAAAGACAAGTTTCCCCTTCCGCTCACAGTGGGGCATTGGACCCGCAATGACTACAGATGAAGCACAGGTAAATCCATGTGAATGACGGGGATTTCCTGGGGGTTAAAAAATAGGATCTTGTCTAAAGAATATACCAGCATCGTCATATTTTTTAAATTAAATTTTTATTGATTCCAGAGAGATAGGCAGAGGGAGAGAGACCGAAACATCAATCACGAGAGAGAACGGCTGATCGCTGTATCCTGTGCTCCCAGGATGGAGACCCAGCCATCAACCCAGCGGGTGCACTAAAGAGGAATCCAACCTTGACCGCCTGGATCATACGTCAACACTCACCCACGAGTCACGGTATAAATTTTAAGATACTAGTACAATTTTCCGGCCATTAGCTTACCTTAGCCTAGCATAGCTTAGTATAGTGAGGGAGATTAGACCTTCCAGGACTTAGCCTAGAGTAACTTACGTTTTTGAGGGAGATGAGACCTTCGCGGACCTAGGCAAGGTTAGTTTCCCTTACATTACAGTGGCTTAGAATAGTGAGAGAAATGAGACATTTGAAGACATAGCGTCCCTTAGCCTAGAGAACTTTAAGTTACTGAGGGACAAGAGACCTTTGAGGACATAATTTAGTTTAGCCTAGAGAGAACAGCATTGTGAGGGAGCATTGAACTTCGAGGACCTAGCTTAGCTTAGCGGAGGATAGAGTAGCTGAGGGACACAATAGGTCCTAGCTTAGATTAGCTTAGCTTAGGCTAGAGGAGCTGAGGGACCCAAGAGGACCTAGCTTAGCTTAGCTTAGCTTAGGCTACAGTAGCTGAGGGACCTTAGAGGATCAAGCTTAGCTTAGCTTATCTGAGAATAGGCTAGAGTAGCTGAGGGACCCAAGAGGACCTAGCTTAGCTTAGCTTAGCTTAGGGTAGAGTAGTTGAGGGACACAAGAGGACCAAGCTTAACTTAGCTTAGCTTCGCCTAGAGTAGCTGAGGGACACAAGAGGACCGAGCTTAGCTTAGCTTAGCATAGGCTAGAATACCTGAGAGACCCAAGAGGACCTAGCTTACCTTCGCTTA